TTCTATTAAAGGGACGCTGGCTTTTGTTGTACTGTGGTGGTTTATTACGAGATATTACATGGGACTTAAAGGGCTTAAGGGATCAAAATCAATGAGGGAATTACTTAAAGCTGCATTGTGTAACTTTTCTGGTGGAGGATCTGTCAAATGCTTTTCTCCATGGAGATGTTATTGTTTTGCCATGAATGTTTAATATTTCTATCTTCAAAGAGACCAAACCAGATCAAGTTACAGGTTAGATCTGTGGAGAGGCAACCCTGCACACAGTCAGAGTGTCTGTTTTTCTAGGTATTTTTGAGCTATAAAACCAGCTGTAATTGAATAAATGTACGGTAGAGCTGTATAATGTTAGTCTGAGTCATCAGTTGGTTTCACTTTGTGGAAACTATCTGACCTCACAGCATTAAGATTCGTTTGCTTGGCGGTAGGTGGGTACTTTTTTTTTTTTTTTATTTAACTAATTGCTGCTATTTGGTTGTGACATATGTAATGCGCCAGATCCCGTAGGAAGAAGGCCAATAACGCCTTTCCTCTTGATAAAATTCACCAAACATTCTCTTTGTTCCGGCTTTAATCCTCAACCTCTGGAATCGTTGCCAACACAGAATATATTTCTTCGTCTACATCCATCTCGATCACTTTGTTTACTGTTGTGCTGTACAAAAAGGGACCCAGACAGGCGCTTGAGTTTGACGTCATGGCTTCACAGCTCTTTGCTGATTGGCTGGTGCATGGTCTCCAACTTCCTGAGTTCCTGCAAAATGTCTGTATTCCGATTCCTGATCTAGTCGCTGGAGAGAAATTAAATTGAGCAGAGGCACTAGCTGGTGCCAGCCTGGCTGGTTTAATGTCACACTGTGGAACATTCCAGGCAGAGCAATGACATATCCATAGAAAACAATCAGGTGAGGGACCCCCAACCAAGAAGTTACATAGTACTTCAATTATTAATATTTCAAGGAATACATAGTTTCATAGTTTTATAGTTTCCTTGTATGTTTAGTTATAATGCCAGCACAGATACAACGCACCAAACTGGTAGTATTGGATGTAGAAGTCCCTTTAAGTATGTGTAGTTGCAGTATTAGTGGTAGGAATAGTGACAACAGTAGGTATAGAAGTAGTAAACAAATCGTGGCACGGCATAGAGTTGTCAAGAGTATTGAAAATCCAATACTAATCATTACTAAAGCTAGTTCATTCACAGGACAGAAATGGACCTTTCCCGAATATCTTTAGAATGATCTTGAGCTGTATCAGAAGCATAAGAAGTACAAAGACTACTATACGCCCATGGACCACTATGAAACCTACCTGGACCACTGAGGGGTTACACAGATATAAGACTGCTTGGTAATATCAAAACAGAGTACTATTACTTCATGCTGAAAATTACAATCTGTTGTCTAAAGAAAGAGTCCTTTTAATTACCCATAAACAAAAAACAAACAGGGATTTTACTTGAGTATGAACTGAAAAGCGCATTTTAAACAGATGTTATGGGGCGCTCCATAGAGTTGTGTAATTTGTGTACGTGTTTAATGTTTTCAAGACCATTTACATCTGAATAGCTCTGATTTTCCCCTTTGCTTGTACGGCTAACCTGTGTAATTTAAAGGGTTCCCCAAAGGAGGAGAGGCCCAGATTCAAATGCAAATATATACAAAGTCTAGACATGTTGCAAGTGCCAATTACTGCTGTCTTTGCTGTGGATGTCCTCTAAGTGTCTAAGTGCACAGAATCTATTATGAAAAAGTAAACATTCTGTCCTTGGAGGTGAGAAATTAAAAATGTGAAAGTGAAAGTGGTCATGACATTGGCAACATGATAAAGACCAAGATAAAAAAAAGTTGTAGTAGTAAGTTAGTAGTTGTAGTAGTTGTAGTATTTATGTTTTTTAGTCTTACTATACTATAATATTCTATTTTTTTAACAATGTATAAGTTATTGTGACATTGGCGACATGGTACCAGGAAGCAGTAGTGGAAATATTTCTGGTTGTTGTAATAGTAGCTGCAGTAGTTGTTATAGTAGCTGCAGTAGTTGTTATAGTAGCTGCAGTAGTTATAGTAGCTGCAGTAGTTATACAGTTACAACAGTTTTAGTAGTAGTAGGAGCAGTAGTAGTAGTAGTAGGAGTAGTAGTAGTAGGAGTAGTTAGGGCTGGGTATCATTAAGAAGTTGCCGATACGATACATATCTCGATACACTGAGCTTTCGATTTTATATGATATATTTCAAATTGATTTGATACGGTTTAAAAACAAAAAAAAAACATAAAACAAAAAGCTAAATCATGACTGTGAAGTTAATATGAAACACAAACACGAACTGTGACAAAATAATTTAGTAAAATATAAAATAAAATACTCTTGGTGATATATATCGATACAGCAACCCACGATATTGATACTGTATCATTACATTAAATGATATGATATATCAATATTTCAATATGTTTGCACACCCCTAGTAGTAGTAGTAGTAGTTGTTGTTGTTGTTGTTGTAGGGGAGTGCAAAAATATTGAAATATCGTATCATTTAATTTGATCATACAGTATCGATATCATGGGCTGCTGCATCGATATATCGCCGAGAGTATTTTTAGGTATATTTCACTAAATTATATTGTGTAAGAGCTGTTTTGATGAGTAAAATGGGTGTTTTTCCTATTAACTCTGCAATTGTTTTGAATTGTATTGAATCAAAAGTGCACTGTATCGTAAAAAAGTATCACATCGGCAACTTCTTAATGATACCCAGCCCTAGTGGCAAAGTAGTAGTAGTTGTTGTAATAATTGTAATTGTTGTAGCTATACAGTAAAAGCAGCTGTAGCAAAGTAGTTGTAGTAGAAATTGTAGTTGCAGTAGTTATAGTATTTGCACCATTAATAGTACTACAGTATTTGTTGTGTGTTTTATCATTACAGAAAATAATCAACTGTATTTTGATGACATAAAATAAGTTTTAAAAGCCATTAACGATGAACTGAAGTCTTACTATAGCACTTGTAGTATCCTCTCTCTTCCTTATAGAAGTGTGCCCCAGCTGCCTGATGAGAGACACTTCTTCTTCCCCACAGACAGAGGCCTCTTCTGGGTGCACAGTCTCAGCTCTGCCCCCCTCTGCTCCACCTCCAGGCCTAATCTGGTCAACATCCAGAAATCCACCGTCTGCTATAAGAAAACTCACAGTATCACTAAGAAACTTGACAGAAACAGACTTAACATTTTATTTAAAGGGCCCATATTACTCTGTTTTCTGATCTAATGTTGTTTCCTCACCAAAAACAGACCTGGAGTTGTGTTTTGTTTCATTCACACAAGTTTAACACACAAACCCTGCATTTTCAGACTGAATTCTTCTCCCAAACATGACATATAACATGACTTGAAGCTCACAGGAATCAATTTTGTGTAAAACCTTTAAATCCAACATATCCAACATAATTTACCTGTGGACTTGTCTCCTTTAATATATGAATTTCTATTGAATCACATCTTAAAATATCAAAACCCGACACCTTGCTTAGCTCAGACTGTGACGGATCTTGTATCTTTTTCTTCAGATTTTTCTCTCCTTAATGAAATCACTACAGCGTCTGAAATTGAATTGCATTTCTAGGATCGCAGCCAAGATGGATTATGTGCAACACCACGCGGGTAGCCTTTGTTCCCTTCTTTTTTATATAAACCTGGAAATCAATAGTAAAATATTTTGCTGGCAGAGAGGTATTGAGCTGAGTAATCAAGTCACGGAGCGCCAGGATGTGTTCTTAATCTTTTTAGGAAGCCATCTTGACGGAGAGGTGAGAGCCAGCCGATGTGGAGGATTTGAGGTGCTGTATATGAATGTTATGCTTTGTGAAGGAGCTTGTTTGCAGTTTGTGAGAGGATTGGTGAGTAGTTGTACAGTTCTCATGAGACCTGCCTTACACCCAAGTATGAGCAGAGCAGCCTGTGTGTGCTATGGGAGGTTTTCAGATTCTACAATGTGATTATGTCATGCTCTCACATGGGGGTAAGGGCCTGTTTTTGTTTTTTTTTCCTATTGATTACATTGTACCTGCTATGAATTATCCAACAGGTTCTATTTAAAGTTTAAACACGGGCATTTCTATTAATTACTAGGCTCATTTAGTTCTTGTATTAGAATTTAAAGGTCCTATATTATGCAACATTTGAGCTTTAAGTCGTGTTAGAATGTTGAAACTCAATAACAATGCATAATGGAGATGGACATAGATGCTCACTGAATTTTAAGCCTTTAAGAAGAGAAAGGCAAATACAACTTAAGAATATATAATGTATCATGGGATCACGTGTTTCCTTTAAGATTTTGTGGTTGAGGCTGTGAGCATTAAAATGTTTCCTCTCTGGTGGTTCTGTGTCATTTTTAGTCAATTCTAACAGTTACATTAAAAGGTGAGAGATCATGACTAATAAAAGCTGTGAGTCTGTGATGCACGTGCACATCTGTGAGCAGCTCAGTCTGTCTGTGACCACACGGGGGCACTGGTGCTCTCTGCTGAGCGGCGCCTCTGACCCAAATTTAGGCACAGAACAGGAGGTGCAGGTCTGGTTCAGGATCGCACTTTATCTCAAAGTGGAACAAGTTTAGGGCGTGTTTGCCTCTCTGCTTATTAAGCACGGTGCGCACGTGACACGAGTGTGCAACAGTCACTTTTGTTTGTGCCTCGGGGAGCGGACTCCGGCTGCGCTCCGGGCTGGGACTGCGGTTACCCGCTGTCTCTCTCTGTCCTTTTCCTGTCCTGTTTTTTTTTCTTTTTTCTTGCAAACCGCGCATTAGCTCTGGCAGAGATTTGCAAAGTTAGGAGTGTGCGTCGCAGCTCCGTCGATAGGACGTGACAGTGAAAGTGAAAGTGTACGTGCTCAGAAAGTGAACAGTGTTGGACTGATTCCAAAGCGCCACAAACAAACCGGCGGCTTCACTTTTATTGACCGAGAGGAAGTTGTCCTTCCTCGTTTTGGGAAGTGGACATGGCGTCTCTATATCAGAGATTCAGCAGCGGGACCATCGAGACCAACAAATCCTTCCCCAATCCCCCGGAGGCGAGTCACCTGCTCGGGCAGAGCGCGGAGGGACCGCGGGGACCTGAGAGCCACAGAGCCCGCGTGCAGCAGCACTACCGCCGCCAACGCGACGATGAGGACGTAAGACCCGCTCCCACTGCTTACCAACAACAACAGCACACGTGTTTGTCTCATCTATATTTAATACAGCCATGCCTCGAAAGCATTGTTTTTGTTCTTAAACTTATTAACTCGGGCGTCATCATTTTGATTGGTCAGTTTGTCTATCAATACGTGACGCATGTCTTACGTATGAACAATTTATAAAGCTGTTGTTTTACACTTAATCACATCACATATGCGCGCATGAACACACACAAGCACATACACACACACACACGCACACATACGCACACATATGCACACACGTACACACACATACACACACACAGACACGCACACACAGGGAGGAGCAGGAAACGGCGCTGTGAGCTGTCCTGTCAATACTGCTCATGTTCTCATTTGATGTAGTCACTATTGTGTAACTCTTACTTCTTCACTTCTTGAGAAGTGAACCTGTCACATTGTTGGCCCTATACAGTATAATATGGGGAGCATTATGAGAGTCTAAATGGCTTTTAAACTTTTAGAGTCTAATAATTCATTCTGGAAACCAGCAGAAATGACCGCTAATACCAACAGCTGGCAACAGAGAGCTTTTCAGCACCATGGACAGAGAAAACCCGTCAGACAAACAGTGGTGTGTGTTTCAGGACCAGGGACAGCGCCAGGCGCGTGTTAATCCTCAATAACACCCAAACAGTAACACGGACGCTCAGATCACGTCATAAGCCTCGCGCTCCCTCATCTGGCACCGTGTTTCTCTGTCACAGCAGCTCAGAGTCTGGCCTGGATTAAAACATGAGCACTGAAGGTGACCCAAGACATGGCATTAAAATACAAGACCTGAACACGCGGGTTCATATGCAGATGTGGAGGCGTGTCAGGAGGGAACATTTACATAGTTACATATAGAGTGTCTTATGTAAATGTAACTCATGTTTGTACAATAAGGGTCATGTTTCAGTCAGTGGAGCAGCTACAGGCAAAACTGTTGAGGCTTAAAGGTCCATCGTTTTGTTGTGGTGTTTTTGGCATTAAGATGAAGATTCATTTTTGCGTGTGCTTTTGTTATATCAGTATGAAACGCCAGATAACAGCATCGGATCAGTGCGTCATTAGATTTAAAGTTCAGATATGGGTCAGTAAAGGTTAATGGTGAAAATAGTTAGGTTTAGGATTGTTGTTAAAAGAAATTTATGTACATCAGTCAGTAATTCCCCATAAGAAAAGGTAAATTGAACAAGTGTGAACGGGTGAATTATTCTTTGATAGTGGTAGACAGTACACTATAAATACATAATAACCATTTACCATTTAATGTATGCCATGTACTGAATATATGATGTTTTATTCATTGCTCTGTACACTGCTGGGGTACATACACACACGCTTCTCAGCCTCATTTGCATTCTGATGATTAGTAGTTATGTTTTAATCTGTTGTGCGTGCAGGTGTGTGACATGGCCTGCAGTAGTGTACCTCACAGCCCGTACAGTGTGCTGTGGCAGGTGGAACAGTGGAGCTGGTGCATGAATAGAGCATGAGGCTGATTTATCGACTGGCTCTTTGTGTTTTGTTTGTGCGTTGCCGAGCGCTGACATGATCTGAAATCGATAACAGCGGTGATGCACGGCCCCTCTTCTTCAGATAGAGGCCCCTGTAGTGATGGCTTATCAAATCCTCCTTTATAATGCTCTACCTGCTGCTCAATCTGTCCTGATGTCCACAGTTTGGCTTGGTGGTGCTGACGCTACATACAAAATAATGGACTCTTTTTTAGCATTATTTAAGTTCTAATTTTTATTTGAATACGTTGAAAAGCATGAATTCCCACTGTGAGCCGGGCCGCCTCTCCACAGATCTAACCTGTAGCTAAGCCTGGAAGTGCTGCCTGCTTATGTCATGGAGATAGATACGTTTAATGCTATACTTTGGAACATCCTAAACAAAGCAGTGACATCTACATAGAGACAAACATGCGGCAAACCTTCATCAAGTAAAAGCTATGCAATCCACCTTTAATATCTTTTTTTCCCCCTTTTGACAAGGTCTGAAAATGTCCAAAAATAAGAAGAGCCAAGTCACATACAGCTCAAAACATATTCTTATACCAGGAAATATTTTTTTCTTTAAACTGAAAAAAACAACAACAAAAAAACAATATCTAGGTAAGTTAAAATGACTTAAACTAAGAACATTTTACTTGACAATTAAAATTATCTACCAATGGAGTAAGTGTGTATTTCTTAATTCAAGCAATTTTTGATTTTGTTTCTTATTTTAAGTGCAAAAAGTTGTTGTTTTTCTTGTGTAGCCAGAGGTGTTTTCATATTTTAAGTACAAAAAGTCTTGTTCCACTGGCAGATAATTTTACTTGTGAAGTGAAATTTACTCAAATCATGATAAAAATTTCTTTTCTTTCAAGTCATCTTAACTTGGCTAGATTTAGTTTTTTGCACTGTAATTTTGTCAATGTAAAACAAATATATTTCTGCAAACTTTTCCTTTTTTCCTACACTACGAAGCTGCAACAGTCTCTAATGGTAAAAATAATACATTTAGGGGATCTTTATATCAAGAGAACATTCAGTATTGTCTTTAAATTTTTTTTTTTTTTACAATTCTCATCCCTAATTTGCTGCTGATAAAGTTACAGAGTGACAACAGACAGTATAAATCTCTCTCCCTTTACCTTTGTTTCATCAGAGCTGGTGTTGGCTCTGCTCCAGTTCTGCCTTTAATGAACACGCTCGACGGAGGTGACATTTCCTTCACGCTGAGCCCACGAGATCTGCAGCCTGCCGGGGTGAAGAGCTCCCCCTACTGTCACTAACCCCTCACTCAGACTCATACTTGGCAGTGAGATCACACCGGGGGGGGGGCTCTATCTGTATGTATATGGGGCAATGTTCAAGCGTTACCATGGTGACACACTGCACAGATTAGAAAACACTGCCAGAACTCAAGAAAAATACTAAACAACACATTTTCAGGAGTCTGTGATCAATACGAGCAGAGCATTCAGTTATGTTTGTAGGAATAGACCAATTACAGCTGGACGCATAAAAACTCTATCCTAAAAGTATCGGACCATAAGGCGCACCAGATTATATGGGGCAATATCAATAATGTTAAATTCTCTTGTCTAAAGCGCACGGGATTATAAGGAGCATTAAGTAAAAACAAATGGACGACACTTGAGACTGATCCCTTAGCCCAGATATCCACGATCCATTGGCAGATCGTGGCGTAATTTGCCTGGCGTTACCTCCCTGTCTTGGTGAATGTGTATTATGAATGTGAGGGTCTGTTTACACGAGAATGCGGGTAAAAACAACAAAATAATTTATCGGAAGTGCCTTAGACGGTGACGGTGTTTTTGGGGCTTAAAAATGCAAAAATCTGAAACCACCCTCCAGAGTGGAAAAGTTGAATACTGCCGTAGCATTTCCGTCTACACTGCCCAAGACCCAAAACTCAGGTCAGGTCAGCTCAAGTCGTGTGTGCGTTTATGTCACATACATAGCCACCTAATGTCACCATCTAGCGTCCTGGCATGCATACCCAATTGAATTCCACACACTTTTACGTCACCGTATGTGCGCAGATTTCCTCCCAAAAATGCTCGTCTGAACGCGAAAAAAATTTAAGATGCGACGCCACTTGTGCATCTTCTGTTCAGACCTTCATCATATAAACGTAGTCCAAATGTGGCTGGATAATTGATTTTTTTTTTATTTATTTTATTTATATTTTTTTTATTTAATACAAGGAGGACTCAAATATAAATTGAGTAATAATCTGTTTAATGCAGCCACGTGCACATTTACAGAAATGTCAGTTTTACAGAAATGAAACTTAAAACCACATGGCTAATTTGCATAAACTATAAGCGCTGAAGAAGCAGCTTACTCCTTGGACTAAAGGACATGACTCAGTGGAATACAGTATGTGTTCTTTTTGTGACAGAGGGTGTCCTGCTGACGCTGAGTCTGTTCTGTGCTTCTATCGCGCTGGAGCTGGTTCGTGTGAAACTTTTTAGAGATCATACTCCATGCAGCTCCTGACTGTTTGTCGTAATGCTCTGACAATCCATCAAGAGGTGCGGCTTTGTAGTTTACTAAAGTCGTACTAAAACATTTGGACAGATTTTTGAGCGCTGTGTACCACATTAAATCAGTTAGAGGTCAGTAAGCACAACTAGAATTAATACGTAAGGCGCACCAGATTATAAGGTGTACTGTTGGTTGTTGAGAAGATTCAAGGATTTTAAGTGCGCCTTATAGTCCGAAACATACGGTAGTCTTTTTTGTAATTTTTATTTCGTTATTATTTCCTAAAAGATCACATTGACTGCTTTTTTTCTTTACAATTTGGGAAACATAGTGCATGGTCTCACTCAGTCCCTTTTATCAGTCATCTTTTATCAGTCCCTTTTGTATTGATTTCTTGTCATATTATCGATCGGTCCCTGTTGTATAATTGCTATTGATCGCTGGTGTTTTTTTGTTTTGTTCTGGCATTAGACAGTAGTAGATCAGAGGTTAGATTAGCTTTTAAAATCATAGTTTCAAACACATTCTTAATCATCTATTCACAAATGATTCATTCATCAGTTTTTCTTTTTCATACACAAGGTAGTTTGGACTTTAATGTGCTGATAGCTCGAAGCCAAACTCGTGTTCTCATCTTTGAATAATGGACAGACCCCTAGTGGCCAATTAAATCAAAATAGTGCAGACTGTCTATCATTTTACCTTTTCTTTTTAGGAGAATACTACAGAGAGCATCCAGTGACCTTAAAATTAGCTGTTCAATTCCCACTCCAGTGCGAATTATCTTGTGTTTTTGGGCAAGACGCTTCAGTGTCTGTGTAAAGTGGAGTATGGCGATGAAAAATACTATAGAGACATCGCCGGGTGACTGCAGCTCAGTTTGTTCAGTGGGCAGACACAGTGACCCACAGGTTGGCAGTTCAATCCCAGGACCCATATCCCACAGGTGAATCTTTGGCTACG